TCCATAGCTTCACAATCCTCATCTGAACTATATTCATCTGATGAGCAGCTGTCTGATGAAATGCACTCGACTATCATTTGACTCATTTCAGTGTCAGAATCCATGTCTTCGTATGCCATGGATGCCAAAGATGTGGAAGTGTCTGATGCAGGTTCAAAGAGCTTTAAATTGCTCTTTATGGCAACTAGCTTTGCTACCCTGTCATTTGTTAGTCTGTTCCATTGCTTGGTATGTACATTGCCAAATAAAGACCAGTTGCATTCTGAGGCAGCTGAGGTAGGCGGCAGCTGAAGGATACAAGTGGCAATAGGGGAGAGTGCTTCTGTATGACAAAGGCCCTTCCATCATGTGGCTGGGGAAATGTGCTGGGCAAAGGACCACAAGGCATCACTTTTCCAAGTCCTTCCTTTGCTCTAAACTTTGCCAAACTAGCTAAGACCTTTCCTTCATCAAGACCAAGGTGGTTTGCCATCACCATTATAAAAATGTATGCAGTGCTAACTTGTTGATCGTTAAGGTGTTTTCCTCTGTAGGAAGGGTGTAGCATGTTGGCTGCTGCATAGATTGGTTTCATGCAGAACTCTGACCTCTTCTCAATTAAATTTCTTGCAGCCCTTTCCTCAGCTTGTTTCAATGGTGACTCCGGAAGTGCTGCAGTTAATTTTTCTTTAACAGAAGTTAGCAGCTTTGGTACATCGGACAGAAGAGCATCATTGCTTTCAATTTCTGTAATTGCTGATGCCACAGGATCAAGTATCTTGAGGCTGTTCACTATGTGTGGTCAGAAAATATCATTATCCAGCAGATCTTTTTGCATGCTTTTATCAACACCCAGTGATTCCATAATTGCAAATTCTTGCAATGCTTCTTTGCTATCAATCAAGCTCTTATACATAATTACAACAGCATCCCATCTTGTTGGGCTTGGCAGTTTAAGTGTTGCTCCCTTATTCCGGCTTTTCTGTTTTTCACAAAACATTGCCCAAACCACTTGGTGTCTCCTGGCATATTTTACTACTGCTGTTGCTTTCCTGAACAAACTTTGCATGGTGTCAAGCTTCATGATATCTCCCAGAAGAAGACTCAATAGGTGTTATATGAGTGTATGCCTCTTTGATCTGTGTCCAAGCAGCTTTCACATTGTCAGTGATAATGGCATACACTTTGTTTGATCCAGTTTCCTCAATTACACTTTTGAGTTCATTCGCAATGTAATCGCTGGTATGATGTTCAGTTTTGGTTTCTGTGCTTTTGTAGAATACTGGTTGTGGAGTTGTGATGAAGTAATTTATGATACTTTCCCCATGAATGTTTGACCACCACTCAGAAATAATGTCAAAACAGTCAGCATTCTTGATAGTTTCACCAACTTTTTCCTGAACACGTGCATACTCTGCTTCCAACAAATGCAAGCTCAGTGCATGTATGGTGGGAGGTGTGTATGCCGGTCTGATGTTTTTGAAGAATGCTTGCCACTAATGATTTGTTGTTAACATCAGGGGTGAACCAGACATAGATGGCACATGCTAGGCTTTCATCAAGTTTGCATTGTGATGCAGTGTCTATGCTGTCAAAATATGATAGTTGCTTTGTGGTTGATGAAATGGATGGAACTGGTTGGCCTGAATCACTTGTGGTAGCAGAAAAGTGTACTTTTGCAGTTCGTGCCAGGAGGAACTATTGCTGCTTTTTCACAGGGTGTTGATTCTGTGGTGCATCTTTGCAAATGAGCTTGCATCTTGGTTGCATTTCTGACATATTGCTGTGAACAGTAATTACATAAGTAAACTTCCTTGCCTTTTTTTTTTTCACTGCATTGAAGTGTCTTCAAATATCAGATTGTATACGTGGCATTCTGAAATTCTGAAAATTCTTTCAATGCTAATGTTCCAGATTAAAGTAGATATTATTACACATTTTCTTGGCATCCTTTAAGTACAATCAAATATAGACCCTATTATGTATGGAATACGTGTATACATCAAGTCCTCAACTGATATATAGGACTATGGTAGATCAATTTTCTGGTCTAAGGATTCACCACTCATATGTTTTGGAAATTGGAAAAAAAACTTAATTACAAATTCATTTAGTGCTCCCATTTTGATAGGCTAGAAAGTGAAAAAAAAAATAATAAAAAATTATTGCCACTCTTCTTTTGACCTGGTGTGTACAGTGTACTTTTAGTAAAAGTCTGAATTATGAAATGTTTGAACAAAAGCTTGCATTTTCCTCATGCACCCTAATAAAATACAACCAAACACACTAGTTAAAGCTATGTGTATGTATTGTATATTTCCTTTATTTCACAATATATAACTCTTCACTCGGTTTTATTCGAAAGTGCAAATAAAAGTATGTGCATTTTATTTTTTTCTGTCCATGCTGATTCAACAGTAATTAAGGGATTTCCAGGATGCATGGTTTACTTCATGTATAACTAATGAATACACAGAACCCAAGGAAGAATTTTGTGGTTATATCAAAATTTTATGTGGTTATGGCTTAAAATAAAACCATGTTGTAAGTTGTAACTTGTAATTGGTTATTTATCAAGTGGTATATACATTACACATGATACACCATGTGTGATGCATGCAGTATATAAATAATGTAATACCAAGAGACTGAAAGCAACAGCAGTAAATGCAGACAGAGGATATGAAATTTAAATTAAGCTCTTGATGTTCTTTAAAATGTACACAATGCACATACATGGGTTTCTAGGGTACAATATACATTTAAAAAAAAAATACAATTGTTAAAGAGTTGCTAGAATATTGTTTCAGCAAAATTTACAAATTAACTGAAAATTCCCATACATTCCCAATTCCCGAAATTTTCCCTGGAAACTTCCCAAAATTCCCAGAAAGTTTCCACATCTTTGCAACCCAACCCCATACCCCTCTCATCTAGATTTGTGCCTCTTATAAAACATTAAAGAATACAGCTGTTAATTTTTGAAAAAAATGAAGGGGATTTAGACCTCCTAAACCCTTCACCTTATACAACATTAAAGAATAGAGTTATGCAATTATAAATTAGAAACATAACACAATGTAAAAAAACAAAAAAAAAACTAAACTTACACTTTATTTAACAATTAAGTAGCCAGAGAGTTGGCAGTGGGTGCTACCAGTCAGCAGTTCAAAATTAGTGACAGTGGAAGACAGCCTCAAATGCTTTGCACTAACAAAGCCAGTGAAAGAAAGTTTAGTGACAATGGGAAGTGAATCAAAGCTCTCAAATCACAAGCCTACTTCTCCCAGTTATGTGGCTTTGTGGTTAACAACAAAAACAAATATAATAGCAATATTTTGATTACTTGGATAATTGGAATAATCAAAAGCAGTAATAACCAGAAACCATAATTCCAATTAGTTGATTATTTTTATAACAATCAATATAAATGGAATTTCAATTGGCTGTTAGAATACTCAAAGGCAATAGTGAAAAACACTGATTTCAAGTATTTTCCTGACAATCAATTTAATTGTTACCTCAATTAATCGACTATTGGAATAATCTAAGCGTAATCATCAGAAACACTAGTTTTGATTAATTGACTAATTTAAATAACACTAATTGATGTTATCACTACTCACAGGTGATTAAATTATCTAGCTCTAAATGTATATATAAATATACATCATATGATATCAGGAGTTCATTACCTAAACATAGTTTACACCAGAAACAAGTTATCATCATGATCTATATATAATGTTAGAACTTCATCAACAACTTTGTTAGTAACAAATTTAATTTTCTTATAATACAAATATGATACATAAAAGTTTTCTAACATAACTTCAACATGACGTGCATAAGGAAAACTTTGAAATACTACTTTAAAGAAATGAGAGAGAGTAGAAAAAGTATGAGGGTGTCAGAGAAGATATAAAAGTAGAAAGGTTGACCCTAAACAGAAAAAAATAAATTGTGAACTACAAGGCACCTGTTGGTCCATCTAAGCTGTCCCATCCACTAAACTAAGTAAAGACGAAAAAACCCTCAAAGTTAGCTCTTACCATTTAAATATTTATGAAGCCTTCCTTTAAAATCCCTTACATTTACTGCTTCCACCACACCTGAAAATAATCCATTCCAAAGGCCAACCATACTGTTAGAAAAATAAAACTCTTTTAGCTGAAGATGACTCCTACCCTGCCAAACTTTACATGCAAAGCATCTTTTATCAGACTTTCTAAAACTCCCCCTCCTCTCATTGATGTAAGACTGTAACTACCTATACAGTTGTTTGCTTGTAATTTTTAAAATATAATATACACAACACTCAAAGTTGCTTTTAAGGTTTATAGGCATCAGACATAGATTACAGTACTACAATGTAATTCACATAATGTTTGGATATTACTTACAATCCCATAAGAATCACAAAAAACAAATATGAATTTTAGAGTAAATATACTAGAGATTTTAAAAACCAGTGTATCTTCTGAGTGCTTTAATTATTTACTACCTATTAAATTAGAATGATAAAAATAATGTTAAAATGAATTACCAGTCACTTGGAAAATACTGGCTTTTAACCTGTTATTTAGAAATTATAGCATATTATAATAAACACCACTTGACTCACCATCTGTATGTTCTCGTCAGAGACAAGTCCTCTTCTAGCACACAGATCCAATATTTTATTCTTTATATGTGGTGGGAAATCTTTAATCAGCTCCCACATTCCGCACTTGTTCATGTTGTCTATCACCACTAAAATGCAACTGTAAAAGGATAATGGTGACCTTTTAAAACCCATACAGGCCTTTAGGATATAAAACTTAACAGTAGTTAACATATTTATGTGTTTTATGCACATGTACAAAACAGTTTTTCACTGATGCATGGAAAGAAAATTTATCAAACTTTACTTGACATTCAGAAAAATGCAAGATATCTTATTAAAACAAAAAAGTTTAATATTTTATGAAATAGGTTGAATCTGTTTTTGATCGTCATTCTTTTGATATAGGAATGAAAATGTTTTCCTTCTTTTTCAGGAATGCCAGTAGTCACATTCTTCTGGTTGCATAAACCCTCATTTATTATTATGGCTCTTTGGTTTCCACCACTAAAGCAATTTAACTTTATTTTTTAACTTGTACACAAACCATATATTTATCTATGTTAACATTTTATTTATCTGAAATTGTATTTCTGATAGACACATCTTTGCCCAGTAAGCTACCTTCCCCATGTATCTGCTTTAATGATTTGCACGACACTAGTATTGAGGCAACCCCCACCTAATCTCACGTGATCTAACATAAATTGTGCTACTGCATGATGTAATCCTGCAGCAAAGACCTCCACCAATAGGAGGAGCACAATAACTACCTCTATGCACTTACACTCGTGAAACTTCATTCTTTGATGAGGCAAGTAAGAAACAGCGCACCTGAAGTGTGGAAGATGGGTGGGAATATGTGTGAAGAAGAATTTATATTATTAGTGGTGGAGACGCCAGTGCGAAGAATTGCTTAGATGAGCTTCCTTTAGAAAGTGCCCAAAGGAAGTCTATGGAATATAACATCCAATGGAAGATATCATTCCATCTCTTCCAGGGTATATTCTTTACCCGAGAAGAAAGGGAGAAAGAATCAAACAATTTCCATGTGTTGCAAGGATGTGCGGAATAGGAACATGGCTGTCTGAATACTTGCACTTAAGAAGTTGGAGAGCCAATATGTGCAAGATGGTTGGGGTGTGTTCAGACTGTACCTTGTGTTGTCATCTCAACTCTACCATCAGACTTGATTAGACTGATACCAGCTGTATAGAAAGAGGTATGGTGTGTTGCTCACCTCAACTCCACTGGACATGCAAATGCAGGAGGAGTGCAAAAGTGGCATGTGGTATAGCTATATGAAGGGTGACCTACACTACACTTACAGTCACCATCACCCCACTTCCCACCTTGTTCAAGCCCCAGCAATTAGGTCCCAACTGGTGAAGATTCTTCATAGTCTACTACCCCCAAATGGCTAGGAAATGGTAAGTGGGAAAGTGCCTCCTGTGCTTCACTCAGTGAGAAGGGGGGGGGGGAGACACCACAATGGGCAACTGCATTACCTTATCTTGAAAAGCCAGCAAATGCATGCCACGGAAGCAGGCAGAAAACTCCCTGGTGGTGACTTTTTCCATGATAGTCCATGAAATAGGTATAGTCTGGAACAGATGAAAGTCAGATAGATATATCATAAGGATACCACAAGTGGTCTTGCAGAACATTCCATGTCACAGTGGGTCTATATGGAATCAGGCAGATGGTATGAATGCTTTCAGTTGTCCTGGCTTGATGCAGAATTTGAGAAATAAGTCTACTCTAGGAGGCACTACCAGCCACCTGGTGGGATCCTATGAATGCCAAAGTGGCTCTGAAAAAGAAATAGCACATATTCTTCTCAAAGATGGCAGAAGAAAGGAAAAATGTTGACCTGCAAAGGCCAAAAATCATCAGGAAACAAAATAGCCAAAAGGTGTAGAGGAGATGAATATATGGTGAATGTCCATATGCCAACCTCATCTTATGGCCAGCGAAGAAAAGATGTAAGAGGAGGAGAAAGCGACACATCAAATGTGAAAAAATGTGAGTCTATGAGCATCCCCAGCACGATATGAACATGTTGACAGGAGGATGTAATGGACCTACCAGTAAGGGTAGAAGGAAAGGGCTCCATGGAGAAAAGGAGATCTGTGATTAGGCACACCAAACAGCCAATCCTGGTCTGAATGGTCCAATAGGCAAGAGAGAAGGAAAGAAGATAGGAAAGTAATACAGGCAACCTCCTCAGCTGTTACAGACTGAGGAAGGAAAGATTGAAGAGGATGTGAGAAGCAATCATAGGATGGACCAGCAAACAGTAGTAATAGCAGGTGAGAAGGAGAAGGAAACAAGCCAGGATAAAGAGATTGTAGAGAAGGCAATAAACCAAGAACTCAAACAGGAAATGCACTAGAACATGTAAACCCCATTATGGTCACAGTCAGTCATGGGTGCAGAATTAAAAAGACAGAGGAGAAAGATGGAGTAGAACAGAGTGGAGACAATAGAGGAATAAACACCTCATGTTACCGGAAAAGGAGAAAGCCCACATACAACATCTCCTGACAATTTGTAGATGTACAGACTGACAAGCCAATGATCAACAGACAAGGAAAAAACATACAAGTGGTCAAGGGATGACTGCCAGGAGAAAAGGGGTGGTGGAAAGATTGATAACAGAAGACCCACCACAATTACTGACAGAAAAGGTGGCAAAAGAACAACATAAAGAGAGACACAAACGTAGAAGTTCCAGTCTGACAGGTGATAAATTTGGCAAATTTCATGCACAAGGAGTAGAAAAGATAACTTTAATGTAGGGATGCACAAGTGTGAAGCAAGAGAGAGAGAGGGTGAAATTGAGGAAAGGAAGAGGGGTCTGAACACCAGCAGACAAAGGCTGAGCTGGTCAAAGAGGCACCAACAACAGGTCTCAAGAACGAAAGTATTGTGTGAAGACGAGGACCAGAGGAAGTAGACAAATAGTGGAACTGGCATATAGAAAAATGGGAGACCAGACCCGGCGAAAATAGACAGAGAGAGCCAAAGGATCAGAAATAGTAGACAATAAGGGAGGAAATTCCAGATTTATGAAGAGTGGTAAATGTATCCATGAAGGGAGTGACTAACCAAGAGCAAACTCCAGGAAAGGCTTGAATTATAGAATGTAGACTAGCAGAGAGAGGTGGTCCACTATTACGATATAAGCTTGTGGTAAATCATAGGCAAAAATATCATCTTGATGTGAATGGGCTCAGAGTGGTATATTTAATGCCTGAAGGCAAAGGGACCCATAACAAACTTTTGGACAGTTGGTACAAAAAACAACTGTGTAAGAGACTGAGTGGAATAAGACCAAGTGGTTCATCACTAGGAACAGGAACCTGCCTAAAGAATAATGAGAAGATCGGGCCAGTGGATGTGGAGAGAATGTAAGGTCAGCAACAAAACATCTGAAGTCCTGCCCTCAACAGAGAAGGAAGCATTGAAGAAGGGTGAGATTCTCTATGAGAGGCAGTAAGCAAATGCAGGGTGTAGTCTGGGCACAGTCCAGTCACCAAGAAAATACCCCGAGAAGATGCACAAAAAGGGCAAAATGGGCCCCAAGAATGAAAAACATGGGTCCAGAATGTCCATAGTTGGAGACAAATTAATGCTGTCTCCAAAGGAATGATGGATTCTAGGGAAGCTGGAGTCACTAAAAGCAAAATAACCTCCAGATATGTCATAGCACACAGGTGAAAAAGACAGGCTGAATTCAGTTGAGGAAAGAGAAAAAGAAATGTTTAAAAGTACTAAACATTGAATGAGTGTAAGAAAAGATGTAGATCCCTGGATAAGAAAGGTATGAGAAGATGAAACATCCAAGAATGTGTTAATAGAAGGAAATAGTCCAAGAAAAGGAATGCCAGCCTCAGGCCATGAATATGACAAGCAAAGGCCCACACAATGACAAGGAATATAAAAGGGCCAGTGCTGAGTCAAAGGGAATAGCAAAGAACGAAAACATGAAAAAGGAGGAGGAAATACAGAAAATAATGGGAGTACTGGTGGAGAAATACGTGTAGGAAATTGTCTGACACATCAAGCATGGCCAACTGCAGACCAGATATAAAAGACCAAAGACATGGTCAAAGGGAGGTGAAAAGGAAGTGGGAAGAGAAGAGGAACAAGAAAAGAAACCAAGGTGGAGAAAAGGAAAACAATTGTTGGCAGAAAGTGAGACCAACTGCAGAAGAAAAGATAGGTATCCAAATAATTGTACATGTGTGATAGTCACTGATAAGAAGAGTAACAAACTAGACTAACAGTATAGGAAAGATAAGAAAAAGAGGAAGGCTGGAATTAGGAAATGAAAAGTGAGAAGAAGAAAGATCTAGACAAAGGCAAGAAAGAGGAAAATAAAATCTGGGAAGATACTGAGAACGGAAGTCACATGACAGCAGTCCCAGTCACCAAAGGGAAAGGAACACCACAGAAGACAGCTGGACAAAAATAGGGAGCCAGATGAAAAAGATACACAAGGAGAAGGAAGGGGTATAGGAAAGAGGAAAATATTCTGACCCAACAAGTCCCAATTGTAGGGGAACAGAGAATGGAGGGATAAAGCAGAAGTGGAACAGGCTAAACAGAGAAGATAACAAATACCTACAGAAACCACAAAAGCAGGAAGAAGTGCCTCAAATAAAAAGCAGAATTAAGAAAGGAAATACAGAATGGTAGAGAGAAAAAGCAAAAATGAGGAACTAAAAGTGAAAAAGTAGATAAGGGAGCACAAACCCTAAGCTGGCCAGATAGATACAAGACAGAGAACCAAGAAAAGGAAAGGAAACAAGTGTACAAATCAGGACAAAATGTGGCATGAACATGAGGGGGACAAAGCATTTGGGCATGAGAAAAAAATGGTTATTACAGAAAGAAAACAACATAAGCCTAATAACAAGCAGGGAGAATGACAATATAAACACCATGAATAATGGGTGATAAGATTAGAAACAAAATAATAATAAAGAACACAAGCAAAGGATAAGGAAAGGAACAAACCTGAGAAGGAAATCCAGAGAGAGAGAGAGACTGTAAGGTTAAGGTCATCTCACAAATGGTAAAGTACTACCCAAAGCAAATCAGGTGATATCCAATAGATCAATCCGGACTGTTAAGAAATTTGGACAATTGGAC